TCAGCAGCAAGACCACCTCCTGGACCCCGCCTGCCCCTCCGGAGGGGGCCTTCCCTTCCTCTGTCAGGGCGCTCCATTCTGGTTTAGTCACTTCGACGAACCAGGCAGGGATCCCTCCCGGGGGGGGGAGGAGGGCCTGTCCCGGGTGACGGATCTGACCGATCGGGACGGAGTAGCGAAGGCCGAGGGCGGCGAGGTGGACCACTGCCTCACCCGGGGGGGGGCCTGCTGGCGGCTCCCCCCCCTCCCCCCGGAAGACAAGATAGCGCTCGGCCGGGGGCTGTTTCCCACACCCCCGAAGGGCTTCCTCCTCGCGGCGAATGTGGCCCAGGAAGAGGCGGCCAACCGCATCGCGCGGGTGGATGATGGGAGGCAGCGGGGATAGAGGGCCCGGAGGGGGGTCCTTCGAGGAGGCCGGCAGCCCCTCTCCCGGCCGCCCCTGGGGGGGGCCGGCGGACTGCGCCGCATGGAAGGCGCAGAGGAGCCCCCCATCCACCTGCAGGGTCCCGATCTCGTCGCACGGGGGGGGGGCCCGCGAAGGCGCAGAGGAGGTGCTGGCGGGCAAGCCGGCACATGCGCTTGTGCCGGGCACATAGGGGGGCCAGAACGCGCCCGCTCAGCCGCCCCCATCCGGTGATGTCCGACTGGGGTTCGTCCTCGACCAGGAGGAGGGTGAACACTTCGTCCGGGGGCTCCGGGCACGGGGCGCGGAGGCCGAGGGTGCCCAGGGTGCTTCCGGGTTGGCGCCAGCCCAAGCGGTCCCCACCACACGTCCCGATGGTGGGCCCCTCGCTCTCCGACTCGAGCTGGCGATCCCGGGGCCTCCCCGCTCCGGCTGCCGTTCTCCTCTCGCGACAGCACCACGCCCCCAGCAGGTCTATCCCGATGGCTCGGGACATGGGGCAGAGGAGTCGGCGGGCGCCCCCGAGGGTGCGGCCGAGGAGGCAGGCGAGGCCCAGGAGGAAGCCATGATAGGGCAGAGCCTCCTCCAGGTTCAGGACGAGCCCCTCCTCCACGCCGGTGTAGTGGTAGCTGACCGCCACGATGTCTGGGGGGATCTCCGCTTCCCACTCCCGCGCCAGGTAGACGGCGCGCTCCCGAGCGTTCTCCAGCCGCTGACGGAGGGAGGGATCCGCGCAGCGCAGCACGGCACCGTAGAGGTACACCTGCCCTCCCTTCCGCGTCGCGGGCAGCGTGGAGCCCGGTTCCCGCTGCATCCGGACCATTCCCTCCTCAATGATGGCGAGCAGCTCACGCGGGCGGCGGCTGGAGTGCCTCCCGCGGGCCCGGATCCAGTCCTGGAAGAACTTGTTGGGCGTGGCCCCGCCCGAGGCGGGCCCTCCCCACACCAGCCTCGAGTCCTTCAAGGGTGTTCGTTCCTGCGCAGAGGGCCCTTGCCCCGTGAGAGTAGGGCCAGGGCATAGGCCAGGAGGATGAGGAGGTCCAAGGCCACCAGGGCGGAGAGGAGGTAGAAGAAGACCAGGAGGTACTGGAGCCAGTGGGGGAACCCCTTCCAGCGGGCGCCCCCGAACATCATCAGCCCGAACCAGGCCCCTCCTTGCAAGAGGCCGTCCAGGAGGTGGTTCGGCCATCCCGGGAACGGATCCTCTCCAGGGGGTGCACCAGGTGCCCGAGTATGCCGGCGCCGGCCGTAGGCCTCCGGGGCTCGGCGGGGCGCCCAGGCTGAAAGATGCGCGTTCAGCTGGCAGAAGGTCCGCTGGATACTCCAGGAATGATCATCTGAAGCCCCCCCCTCCGTCCGATTGCCCCCCTCCTCCCCTCCTCCAGCCGGGGACTCCGACGAGGAAGGCGCGGGGGGAAAGTCTTCCACGGGCGAGGCCGCGGGGATGTGCCCAGCAAGGGGAGGCACGATGTAGCCCTCGGGCCCCATGCAGACATCCTCCTCTACCTGCTCTGGGGCGGGGTCGGTGCCGTCGGCGGGGACGAAGTCCACGGTCCCCACCATCCCAACGGCAGCCCCAATGGCCGCTCCAACCACGGGAGGCGTGCGCCCTCCCGGAGGCAGGGCTCCCAGCTCGGCCGCGGCGAGCAGCAAGAAACTCGCGGGGTGGGAACCTCCCCACCCCTTCATGATGAGATTAGGGGCCAGGGGCCCCTCCCGCAAAAGGCACAAGCTAGCTGAAACAGCTGCGGGAGGGAAGGAAGAGGAGGAAGACAGGGGAGCAGCCGTTGCACTGCCGTGGGTGAATACCCCTGTTTAAGCAAGCCTAAACAAAACACTTTGGCCGCTTGGGGCTCTCTTGGAAAGCAAACTTGAGGCGTTGTAGCGGTTTCTTGAGCTCAATGGGGGCCATCTTGAGCGTCCAGGGGCGATCTCTGAGCGCCCCGTGGCCGTCTAGGACCGGTTTGGGGGCCACTTGCGCCTCCCTGGGCACGTCTTGGCCGCCTCTTGGCCCGGACAGGAGCGCCCCTGGAGCCCCGGAGCGGCCATGGGGGGCGCAGGTCCCGGCCTGGCGGCCCCGATCCCCTTCCGCCGGCATATGAGCCCCGGAGCCCCCATGGGGGGCACAGGTCCACTCCTGGCGGCCTCCCATCGGAGGCCCTGAACGCCGAAACCCTATAAAAACACAGGGGAACTGAGCCCCGGAGCCCCCATAGAGGGCGCAGGTCCACTCCTGGCGGCCTCGCTCCTGTTCCGCCGGCAGATACACACACACATATGTATATGTGTATATATATATATATATATATATGTATATGTATATGTATATATATATTATATATATATATATATTATATATATATATATATATATCATGCGGACCTCTCCGAAGGAGTAGACAGCTCGGAGGCGATGAATTGGAGGTCCCGTTCGCGATGTTTCTGGCCTTTTCGCTAGGGACATCCTCATACCTCTAAACATCGATGGCAACCCTCATGCAGATCGCGGCGCCATGGTCCCAAAATACATAGGAATTTCAACAGTTTAGCGCACAACCTTCAAAAACATTGTGTAGTTTCAATGTTTTTGCACATGACTGTTATAGCGATACCTCAAATCATGTTGTCATTCTATGTCTTATCAGAAGGACCTCTCCGAAGGAGTGGAGAGCTCGGAGGCGATAAATTGAAGGTCCCGTTCGCAATGTGTCTGGCCGTTTCGCGAGGGACACCCTCGAAATTCTGAAAATCTGCGCCGCCCTTCACGCAGATCGCGGCATCATGGTCCAAGAACGCATGGGTATTTCACATATGGTTCGTATATGTTTCGAATACGTTTCGTATATGCCCAATCAGTGCTTGCACTGAAGGGGTCCTAGCGGAGATTGACGAATTTAGCGAAAACGCGGGGCCGATTTCGGTGGGCGGCCGGGTTCCCGGGTTCCCGGTTCCGGGCTCCCGGGTTCCCAGTTCTGGGCCGATTTCGGTGGGCGGCGTGGTTCCCGGGTTCCCGGGCTCCTGGTCGATCTTCTTATCGATCGGTTTCACCATCGATCTCATTACCTACCTCCCTATCGATCTCACTATCGATCTCACAATCGATCTCCGCATCAATATTACAATCTATCTCACTGTACTGTAGATCGCAGGGGCGATCTCACGATCTATCTCACTATCGATCTCATTGAACCGTCTTCACCCTCGGTCTCACGATCGACTTTACAATCGTCCTCACTATCGACTCCACGATCGATCTCACGATCGATCTCAATATCCATACCACTAGCTTCCAAACCATGCACTAATTGTTTGTTTCTCTGGTGCCATGTTTCGTTTACGTTCCGTATACGTTCCGCACACGTTCCGTATACGTTTCGTATTGTTGTAGTGGTAAACGTACTGGCATTAGTTCTATTGCTGCCACTACCACTTCAACTACTAATGCTACAACATATTTCTGCGTCGCTGCAAATGATACCACCACTACTACTGCTACTACTACTACGACGACGACTAGTAGTACTACTACTCGGCTACGACTACGACTACGACTACGACGACAACGAAGACGACGATTACTACTACTACTACTACTACTACTACTACTACTACTACTACTACTACTACTACTACTGCTAGCTACTACCTACTAGCTACTATGTACTAGCTTCTACCTACGATCTACTGCCTACTGCCTACTAGCTACTACCTACTACCTACAACTACTACTACTACTACTGCTGCTGCTACTACTACTACTGCGACAACTACTACTGCTACTGCTGCTACTACTACTACTACTATTACTACTACTACTACTACTACTACTACTACTACTACTACTACTACTACTACTACTACTACTACTACTACTACTACTACTACTACTACTACTACTACTACTACTACTACTACTACTACTACTACTACTACTACTACTACTACTACTACTACTACTACTACTACCACCACCACCACTACTACTACTACTACTACTACTACTACTACCACCACCACTACTACTACGGCTACTACGACTACTTCTACTACTGTTACTATTACTACTACTACTACTACTACTACTACTACTACTACTACTACTACTACTACTACTACTACTATTATGACAGCTTCTTCTTGTTGTTGTTCTTCTTCTTCTTCTACTACTACGACTACGACTACGACTACTACTACTACTACTACTACTACTACTACTACTACTACTACTACTACTACTACTACTACTACTATTCTTACCACGGCCACGACTACGCTTACACATACGCGCCGCGGCCACAGAAAATACCCAACGAAAGCTTCAAAGAAAGTCAGCATCATACGTGTTCATCAATAAGGGAACATATTCATTTCCAGAGCATGTGATCGCTCATCTTCCAATAAGCAACACGAACACCAGGCCACAGAAGACCTGAACGGGCCACAGAAAGACCATCACGCACGAGCACCGGGCCGCAAAATGCCCTAACGGGCCACAGGAAGCCCAAACGGGCCACAGAAAGTACCAGTCGCGGTTGGGGAGGGGGTGGGGAAGGATGGGGAGGATGGGCGCAGCCGCTCAAAATCTGAAGATCGCAGTCCTCCGCGGCGAGTCACCCCAGTGGCCACCTGCTGAACTTCGTTAAGCCGATCCCAATTCCCACGGACGTGGGCCAGGCCCCAATGGCCGATGTATCCCCTAGTTGGGGATATAGGCTGTTCCCTCCGAGTATCGAACAGTATATCCCCAACTCGGGAGGTGGGATGGTGGGGATCGGGATGGGGATGGGGATGGGCGCAAGGATTGGTTAAAGACTACTGACCTGCGCGAGCCTGACGATGCTGGAGCCCAGCGGGAACGAGCCCCGCAGGGGCGACACGAGCGCCACCGTCCGGAGGCCCCCGCCGCCCGCCTCGATCGCGTCTCTCCCCCTCGTCAGTCGTCACCCGCAATCCCTTCATCATCCCCCCTCAGAATAAGCCAGGACGACGATAAAATCGGAAAGGAATAAAATCGAGAATCTCTGAGGTCCAGCGGTTCTGGAGGATGCATCGGGCACAGCGGCCCTCTCAGAGCGTTTCGGAACGCACTGGAACGGATGTATCCTCGTCCTAGCCGCGGGATCCCCTGTCTGTCGCCCCCCCCCTCCCCTCCCTCCTTTTATGGAAGGAAGATATGGTAGCGGACACCGAACAATCCGCTGTCCCTTAAGGGGGGCACCGAACCTATCGACGACCCGTAGCACCTCCCACGTAGCGGCAGTGTTCTACAGATGACCTTCCGGGTGAACGTCACCACCTTCAGTGCAAGGAGGAAGAGGAGGAGGAGGAGGAGGAGGAGAAGGAGGAGGAGGAGGAGGAGGAGGAGGAGGACCGTAGCCAGTTTGGCTCAATATTTTGAGCTTTCCTTGCGAATCCAGTGGATACCGCTAGTCCGCGGCCAGTGAGTTCTTGCGTGGCTTCCCCGTGGCTGTCTGGCAAACGGCCTGGTGTTGTCCTTCGAAGCAGTGCGGTTTCAAGTTCAGCAATGAGTGGCGAAACGCATGCTTTCGCTGCGGTACGTCCAAGGGGGCGCCTGCGGCATCGGATGGGGGGCAGCCCCCCCCGTGGCGTCTGGCCCACACCGCCTTCGCGTTCAGCGCGTAAGCGCCCAATCGTCAAACAGAAGCTTCCCCCCGTGCTCTCGGACGAGCAGGTCGACACCTACGCTGCCATGCCGCAGGAAGCGTTTGATCTGCCAGCGCCAACCTTGGGGCAACTCTCCAGAGACCGTGTGCAGCGAACGCGTAGTCTGCTGTCAGGCGACTCCAAAATTGTCTCACAGGCGGCACGGAAGGAACACAAGCAGCTCACGAAAGTGGGCAAAGCAAATCAGAAGTATGCCAAAGCATGTGAGGGTTTGCAGCGGGCAGCAGAGTGAGCCGCGATGTGCGGGCAGGAACATGAGCAGCTTCAGGCCCAACAGAAGAAAGTGTCAGCGCCGGCTTCGGCAGTCCACCTTGCCATGGGCGGCGTCGAGGTGCAGCCGCAGGACGATGCGAGGACGATCCTGTTGCAGCGAGCCGAGACGCCGCAAACACCTGAGATTACCGCGAAGCTCACGGCGATCTTGGAGGAGATGCACGGCGTCTGGCTGGCGAAGGTGCAGCAGCCGCTGCAGGCCGCCGCCACGCAGCAAGCCGCCTCCGCTGCTCCTCTCTCGCAGGCGCCGGTGGCAGCAGCGCCAGGCTCGCCAGGCCCAGGGCCCGCTTGCGCAGCAGCGCCAGGCTTGCCAGACCCAGGGCCCGCGGAGCCTGCCAGTGCATCTCCTCCTGCTGCTCATCGCGGCGCTCGTCAGCCCCAGCCGCTCGACGCCGCAGCCTTGCAGTGGGCTGAGCGCAACAAGGACACACTCCTTGCTGCTGTGGCCACCACTATGGGTGATGCTGCTACTGATGATGATGATGATGGTGATGATGATGATGCTGCTTAAAAATAATAATTATGATACTGGTGCTGATGATGCCGATGATGCCGATGATGATGATGATGATGATGATGATGATGATGATAATGATGATGATGCTGATGATGATGATGCTGATGATGATGGTGTTGCTGCTGCTTCTGATGATGATGACGATGTTGCTGATGAGGCTGCTGCTGATGATGGTGTTTCTATTGATGTTGGTAATACTGGTGATGACGATGCTGATGCTGATGCTGATGATGATGACGATGCTGATGATGATACTGCTGATGCTGGTGATGATAATGATGCTGATACTGATGCTGATGATGCTGGTGATGATGATGATGATGATGATGATGATGATGATGATGCTGATACTGATGATGATGATGATGATGATGATGATGATGATGATGATGATGATGATGATGATGATGATGATGCTGCTGCTGATGATGGTAATAAAGAAGGCATGTAAAGAATGAGTGAGAACGCGAAGCGTGCCACATCGAGAGCCATAGAGTTGGTCACGGAAGCAGTCTTGGGGGCTCGAGAAAGCACGTACTCCTCCTGCACCTTGATTTGCTTCCCCGACCTTGGGGTAGAGGACTTTACATATATGCACAGCAAACTTCACCAGCCAGCCAGATTTGGAGACGTTGAGAAGGAACTCGGTGTGGGAAGAGTCTGCCTTGGCGCTTGTCCAAGAGGCAAAGACCCCAGAAAGGCATCGTGAAAGTTACGAGCAACAATTACGTCGCAATGGATGGAAAGGTCGAGTTGAAGCTGCCCCGCAAAAAGCAAGAAACACTATAAAACTGTGCCTTTGAACTACGGTCTGAGTCGTGTACAGGGTGTCAAACGCACGGTCAATCAGTGAAGGCCTTCGTTGATGCATGTCAGCGGTGGGCCCAGCTGCGGATTACGGGTTGCGGCACTGCGCTTGCACGATTCAAAGTTCAGTAAATGGAAGATTTTTTGCGATGTCGGTCGAGACACAAAAAAAGCTGGGCTCCCTTTCATCATCTGTGCGGACTGGCACGTCACGCCTGAGGAGTTACAAGAGTCTGGTTGGGTCTCAGGTATTGGTGGAGTGCTTGTTGTGCCCAGCAATGCCACGGTCAGGTATTCGACGAGGGGCTGCATGCCCAATCGCTTGAGGATTTTTCAACGTTAGCTCACCGCAGGGCTGACCAGCTGGCACGAGCCAGCCAGCGTGATAAGGAAAGGGGTCGAGAAGCCTGGGTGGAGAAGCACACGAATGAGGCCCAATTCGGTGCCCCTGGGGCCCCCAGATCACATCGAGCAGCTTAGGAAGGATTGGGAGGCCTGGTGGTGCGCGTCCGAAGCGCACCCGCTGTTGGTCTGACCTGATCTGTTGCAATTTGAGGCGCCACCTGGGCCCGCAAGAATATGACTGCGTCAACCCTCGGCGCCTCCTTTTGCTCGGGCCTGATGGCCTTGAAGCTCCCGCCGAGGTCCTGCATCAGATTGAGCGCCGATTGGAGTGGCCTGTGCTTTGGAACAGAATTGAATCCTGGTGAAAAGGACGGGGAGGCTTGAGGCCCAGATGGATCTGCGTTGACTACGTAAGTCCGAAATCCACGTCTGGCAGCGTGAGAAGTATCGTAGCTTTGAATGGGGAACCAATGGCAATGCCTCTGAAAAATGTGTCTGGGTGTAGGCGGCGTAGGCTGAGTGGGCTCATGGTCGGAGATTGTATGCGGGGACGGTGTTGGTTGACCTTCAGAAGGCCTTTAAGCTCATTCGGCACCACCACCTCGTAGCTGCCGCGCAGCGCACGAGTTTCCCCATGAGGTTGCTGCATTTGCTCATTGGTCTGCGCCGGTTGCCCAGGATCCTTGACATGGCCACGCAGGCCAGTTGTTTCGGAGCACCGCGTGCTGCCAGGTTGTGTTTTTGCCACCACCATGCCCCAGTTTATCCTGCTGGGACCCATGGATGAGGTTCGTCGCGTTGCCGTCGCTTTCAGTTTCTAAGATGGTCGATGTTGGCTTGCAGCGTTTCGGAGAAGAGTCTCGTGTGAAAAACGAGCTCGCTGTTGGTGGCCTGACCTTGCAGGGTCAGATGGAACATTTTGACCTTCTTATTGCCAGAGATAAGGCGTGTTCCCTCAGCAGCACTGTCAGTCTGAAGAAATTTCTCGAGCAGGAGCTGTCCTGTCTTGGAGGCCAGTGCTCGCGCGCCGAGAGGAATCAGGGGGGGGGATTTCGGTTCGGGGAGACGGCTGGTAAGGGATGCCAAGCGCGATCGTCGCTGCACTGCTGTTGCGCGGACGCGTAGATCTAAGCTGCTTGTGAAGGCCAAGAGTCAGCGCATTGTGATGCGCATGGCTAAGGCCACTGTTGAAGCGAGTGTCAGCTACGGCAGTAGCGTGACAGGCAGCAACGGGCAAGAGTTGCAGAGACTCGGACAGCTCGTCGCGAACCAGGGGTCCACCAGCCCCCCCTCCCTGACCCTCCGCCTCATCTTGCTCACTGGTAGGCGTGTGGACTCCATTTTCAGGTCCTCAGCAGAGCCTCTCAATGCTATGCTGGCCGCTTGGCAATCAAATTTGGCGTCTCAGCGTGCGACCAAGACCTCTCCATATCGCCCGAGCCAGGATCCGTGACCACAAGGGTAGCCGGCGGCAAAGTGTCTCGGGCCCGTTCTCTGTGTCTGGCCACCTGCGATGGCATTGGGATTACAGTCGGTGTGATTTCCCTAGGGGTTTGGAGGTTGAGTCCACCGACCTTTGGTTGCATGGGCTGCGGATCTTAAGTGATCTGCGGCATAATGGAGCTGCATGGCCAATACTTTGAAGCTTCCAGAATTTCGGCAGGGGGCGTCGGTCGAACCAGTCCTCTCTTTGCTCTCGCAGCGTTCCCCGAGATGTCACGCCCGACGAGAGAGCCGACTTGCGCTCTGTGGCGATAGGCAGCCTGTGGACCCAGCAGAGAATTCGCGAGGCCAAGCTAATTGCCAGTCCTCAGTGTAAGGTTTGTCTCGAGATCACGGGATCCCTTTTCCAAGAGACCACGGAATCCCTTTTCCAAAGGACCTGGTTTGCGATTGCCCCGCGTCTGTGGGGGGGGGGAGGGGGGGGCGCCGCCAGCTTCGCCTCGGGGGTGCTGCCCGAAGATCCTTCGGAGCTGATTGAGCTGCTCGGAACCAGAGTGCTTGCGCCGTTTGATCGCCACCCTGTCCTGCCCCCGCCTGCGCAAGAGCAGTTCTTTGTCGGAAGCTGTGAGCAGCTCTCCAGGGGCTCGTTGGTCGACGGGTTCCGATATGACCACGAGCTGCCCAACGGTTGCGCGATTGCTTGGGTCGCCATCGCGCTGCACCGCTCCCAGCCCTCCCCCCTTCGCGACGAGGGACTTCTCGGTCGCGGTGGTTTTTGGAGGAGGGGTGAAGGGGCCATTCCAGTGCACTGTCAAGGCTGAGCCGACGGCAGTGCCTCGA